GGTTGCTGCTGCTGCGGCCTTTAGGCCTTGATTTTGGACTCCCAATCTGAATCTAGACTTTCTTTCTGATTCGAATACGGACTGGAACTTAACTCTTTGACTTCTGCTGGACAGGCACACCCAATGCACGAACAGACACTCCTTCTGCACGAACAGACACATTGACTGCATGTACAGACACATCCCTTGTTTGAATAGACATGACTTGCATTGCCCCTGGCGAACAGATGTGACCTCCAAATCTAAGCACGGTGACTGTTCATCCAGGGCTCAACCATGACCTTTGACATTGTCTTCACTTTAGCCAGGATGTGACCTTTGACCCAGAGAACATGTCTTTTGATCTGCTTTCACGAATTGGGCTCTGGGCAAGGGACCCCAATATGCTGCTTTTGTCAAACAGGGGCTGAATCGGGTAAAGGCCCTTTTAAGGTGTTGCTCCCCACCAATAGATGGAGCCCCCCAGGGTGTTAGCGGTGGCTGCTCTTATCAGCACCACTAGCACTGACAGGGAAGCGTTAAAAAACAACAACAACAACAACAACAACAACAACAACGGCTTCAATCCTCGAACGAACACAAATAAGGGCCAGAGAAGTGGAAAGCACAAGAATGGTGCAAGGGCAGATTCACAACAGCCAGTATTTCTGGGTTTCGCGACTGAGCCACCGAAGTGATGAGCTCCCACAGGTTATACATTTATACCGATCTAGCATGAACCTATCGCAGTTTACAACCAGTTATGCAGTTGCCTCCTTAGAGCGGACAGAATAGCAGTAAGGCCCGGTGCAACTAGCTGGGCCTCTCCCTCCGACCAAACTCAGGCACACCACATGAAGACAGAGATGAACACTCTTTGCATTGTGTGCTAATGGACAGAAGAAGAAAAAAAACCGACAGTGATGATGACACTATGTAGTTGGAAAAAAACTTGATAACACGCATAAATTGAGGGGGCAAAAAAAACAAAAAGACAACTGACGAGTTGCAAATCACGAAACAAACAAAAAGCCCAGACATAATGACATCATCATAGTACATGACACTTTGTCGCCATACATCCCATCAAGGAGGCCCACCATTCTTTTTGCAAGATAGATCTGGGCCTCTTGAGGGACACATACACTAGCATTGGCAATTGACTAACAGTTAATCAGAGCAGCAGGCATGACAAACTATCTATTCCTGGGACATCAACACCGTGCACCACATTATCTTTGAAAAAGTTCAACTCTGTCTGTACCTCTGGGTCCTTTATTTGCTTCTTGAATTTTGTGATAAGTGCTGCACTCTTGATCGGTCCAGACTCGCTCAGGACTCTTCGAACTTCTTCTTCTGTAATAGCCCCTGATGCTGATTCTCCAGCAGTGGTTCCCCCAGGAGTTGCCAACTTCGCTGCTGGCTTAGTAGCCGTGGCAGCGGGAGCCGCCTTACCACCAGCTGCCGCATCAGCACCATGTCCTGTAGGAACACGGCCGGCTACCGCAGGTGTCCCAGGTTCTGCCTTCGGGGCAACTGAAGCCACCTTTGCACTCGCCGCATCTCCTGATGCGCCTGCGGCTGTTCCTGCCGTCTTGCTCCCCCTGCCTTTGCCACCCTGCAAAAGCCAAACCAATTACAGACATACATACAGTCACATGAGCTGGCTTGATCTGATCTTCTTCCTTTGTGATTCAGTTAAACCACCAGTACCTTTATAACACATTACCGGACCAAAAAGGCTGGCGACTCCAGCCAAAACAAAACAGAAAACGTCACGCTGGCGAAAGCTTGGTGCGCAGTTCTACTCCGCCTCGGCAAAAAGAGAATCGGAGGAAGTGGTAGTCCAAGCACCATGTCAAAAAGAATTTCGAAATATTCATTATCATATCTTCTAAAATGACTGATGAGCCAAACGCCACCGCCAAAGGCATGTTTTGAGAGCTGCTCTCCAACCATAGTTGAATCTTGACAAGCTGCAACTCAGAGCTACAACAGTACTGTCAGTGTACACCATTGACCAATACATGGTGCGGCCAAAGTCCCACAGCTATTCTGTTGCCATGCTTAGAATCCCAAATTGAGCGAAACTGTTGAGAGTGGCAGCTCTTATGAGCGTCGGGGTAATGGTTTGAAGGTGATATGCAGATGCCAACCCGACCCCTCCTGGCTACGACCATGGCCTCCAGGTACTTCCGAAGGACCATCATCAGCAAAGGGTATTGGATACTACCTGGGTCTGACACAACCTGCCATGTATGTTATGTCTGCAATGTAGTATTCCTCTGTCACCTGCTCTGACAAGGGCTCGAAGGGGCTTACAAACAGCTCTGTGAGGATAACTTTCTGTACCTCTTGCTATCCATTTGGCATCCCCATAGCAAAGAACGATTATGTAACAGCTGCCCTATACCAACTCAGCTTGCACCCTGCATGCGGAGACCACTTGTAAAACTCTGTGTGAATGCTACCTCTTGCTATAGAGTTGGCATCCCCATCACAAAGAACGATGCTGTTGCAGCTGCCCTATACCAACTCAGCTTACACCCTGCAAGCGGAGACCACTTGCTCCTCCCTGGCTCTACCATTGGCAAGGGCTTCACATGCCCTCCTCATTGCTAAGACCAACTCGGTAAGAGCTCTGTAAGGTTTGTCCTCGTATGAATCATGATCCTCTGACTCTCTAGCGGCCCTCTCTTCCTGACGAGCTCACAGCCAGCCCGTTGGGCCAGGGGTACTTGAACACACAACCTGTCCCACGTTTTCCAGGTATTCTCAAGTCTGTTGCTGTCCCTAGTGCTTAGAAACACTGTCAGCCTCTGCGTAACAGCACGTTCACTGAACGCGGGTTCCGCGTTCAATTTTTGAACGCGTTGAACGCGGGTGAACGCTTTTGACGCCTTTGCAGCTGGGCCAAAATGCGTCTAGTGGGGGGTGTTTCGGCAAGGGGGTGTTGTGGGAGGTGTGGAACGGGTGCGCGCACCCCCCGATCCCTCAATACGAACTAAAAACAAAAGAAAATGAAAAGAAAGAAGAACACTTACCTCTGTGTGTGTGTGTGTGTGTGTGTGTGTGTGTGTGTGTGTGTGTGTGTGTGTGTGCGCGCGCGTAGTCGCCTCAGTTCCGAACAACTGTGCTAGTGAGGGTGCGAGAGCACACCCACAGACAAAAAAAACAAAAAAGAAAAAAAGGAAAAGAAAATAAAAAACTAAGAAAAAAAGTGAGCGATTGAATCGATCAGATTCCATTGAATCGATCCAATGGAGTGGATTGAATCGCATGCGTGTGTGTGTTGCCATTTTCGCTATACACTCAAAAAAAGCATGTTTGCATCATACTGTTTCGTCAGACTTTCACCGATTTATCAGGAGGTTGAACCCCTGCAGACTGCGACATTCCTCCCAGGATGTGTATGTGTGTGTGTGTTATAAAATATCACCACAACTTCCCCTATTCCACCCAGATGAGTAGATCCAAAGTCATAGCACCTTTTCCTGTATTGCAAACAATGAAGCATTCTCAGCATGAGCCAATCCACCAATGAAACAGTTTGCTTGTGATGTCGATATCTATTCAGAACCTTACCTTTAAACAAGCAAGGAATCTCACCTTTACAGAAGCAATGCAACACACTTCAGATGGGCCAACCCAGCAGTAAAAACAATACGAGAGTCGAGACACAATAAAATTGTTATATCGTTTTCTTGATGATATTTTCATCAGCTACCATTGGGAGGCCTCCCATTTTCTCTGTTTTTGTAGTTACCTTCTTACTGTGCCTATCACGCACAAGGCTGGCCACGTTGATGATTGTCGCATACCAAGATAATACAGACCAGAACCAAGAACCGACCTCTCACAGATAGAGCAGAAGACTGGAATACAAATGATCCGACCCAATCAATGTCGAAATGCAGACTGGACATACATCATCATCATCACACAGTAGAATGGCCTGGCACTGCACACCAGGACGAAGGTGCCAGGCCTAACTCATACACAGATGAGGAGGAGGGGTAAGAGACGAAGGAGAAGGGCGAAGAAATGAGAATGCCGTCAACCCAAATGTTGCTGATATCAATCCCAAGTAGTCCCCGCAACGTCTCTGCCCAATGTCGAGTCTAATCCTCAGTGTCGTCAATTTCTCTCTCTCTCCCTCTCTCTAATAGCCGGATACGAAGAAGTCAGAGCGCTGGCAGGGGAAGAAGAAGGTGCTAGACTGGAGGAAGAAGAGGAAGAAGAAGCTCTCTCTCTCTCTCTCTCTCTCTCTCTCTCTCTCTCTACCAGGTACCGACCTGCGAAAGGTGGTGCCTTGATGCAGGTGCGGACATGCTGAAGACGACGCTGGAGCAGTGGCTACGCAGGTAAGTCTCAGGTAAGTCCTCTGGTCGTCATCACCATCTCTCCCTATCGTCGACTACTACTGCACTGCCGTCGTCCGAAGTATGCCTCCTCGATCCTCTACTCAATCCCCGGACTGAGGCTGGACCCAGCTATATATAGCGCTGGGTCCGCCTCAGTGGCTGAGTCCTGACGCCCAAACTGAGGCTGGGCCTCGAAAGTTTGGCGCCCAAACTGAGGCTGGGCCTCCGGCGCCCACCGAAACGGCGCGGCCTCAAAGTCAGGGTCTGGCACCGAAACACGCGCCAGGGCCTGAACCTGAAACGAGGCCTACAGGGCCCCTAACTGGTACCGGTCCTACTCGGCATTAAATTCGGCCTACCGACCCTGCGGATCCTACTAAGGGTCGAAACGATACAGACCCTACACTCTACGGACTCCTAGCCTACCTGGTCAGGCCCTGCTGGGCCCGTGTGGACCTGAGTATGCCACATGATGTTTAGCGCCAGCGGCCCACATCCCCGTGTGCCTTTACGGCCCACTTACACGTTATAAAAAGACGCAGAGTAAAAGCGTAATTATATTTTATCTGTTCTCTCAATGATGCTCATTCATATGCGTTTACTAGTAGTACACAAGGAGAGGGAGCTCTCTCTCTCTCTCTCTCTCTCTCTCTCTCTCTCTCTATAGAGAGAGAGAGAGAGAGAGAGAGAGAGAGTGTGTGTTCAATAGATTCTTTATACAGACCGTTGGAGCAGACAACTGTAAAATGACACAAGACGTCAATCAGTGTTCGGGTTGCAGGATGAGGAGTAGTTGTTGCTTATGGTAGCTGTTGTCTATGGTAGGTGACCACTCCTGCAGACCGGACAACACCGACTCAGGTGCGGACTGTGGAAGCATTGCATCCAATTCTCGCAGTTGCAGTTGCTGCACCTAATGGCACGACATAGACAGATATCACAGGCAACATGGCTCCCACAGGAGAGGAACACAGAGGCACGCCGGCCGCAATTGTAGAGGCATTGCCGTTTGAGCCCGTCTACAAATTAGACATGACATGTCAGGGTGTCGAAAGTGAATGCAATATTGACTGTCATCATACATATGAAAATGCACGGGCTGTGCCTTCATAATCCTCATGACACAATGCATCCTGCCCACATGCTAGCCGAATCTCAGGTGGATCATCACAGACCGGCATTGAGCAAGTGTTTTGGGTTTCCTCTGCATTGTTCCTTCTCTATGGACCGACGACGGCAGCGACTGTGGCAAGAGGGGGTCATCCAAAACAAGGATGTCTAGCTGCTGCAGAATTTGTTCTGCAACAGTTCGTCCTGGTGGTGTTAGCTCTTCAGCACAGTGCTCTATAAGCGTCTCATGTGGTTCTCTATTTTCCTGCTCAGGCTGTTGAGTTTGCTGTTCGTCGGGCAAGAAAGAAGGAGATCCGATGGCGTTTGCAGTAATTATACGCCCAACTCAGCATGTGGGACATGCTATGAGACGATGTGGTGGATGATTGCACCGTGGATTGTCCACGCAGTAGAGGCACATGCTTTCTATGACAGCTTCCTGGAAATATTGATGACACATGGAATGTTGTTGACATGTCAGCAGGAAGCAGGTTGACGTTCACAGCTATTTAAGCATGGCAGATTAAGGGCACGACGGCATATTGGGCAGGCGATTAGGGGGTGGGAGTCGCAGTTTTCGCGACAGAGGCTGGTGGGGACCATCCCTTCATAGTGTTCGGAACAGAGACTATGCACTGTGCATGCTAACCGAACTGTGGCTGTGTGGCCACAGAATGGAAGGTCAAAGCCAACATCCAAGGAGGCTCTTTCATTTGTCTGGAGCAGAATCTCCCCGATCTACACAGGGAGGGGACACTGCTTGGTCATCTTGAAACGGTTTTCACCTTTTTGCTGCGGGTCCTAGAGTTCGATCCCAAGACCTTACCTTACAGTATCGAGTTGACCCCTGAGTGTTTGAACCCACGACCTGTGTTTTGGTAGTTGGTTGTTGTCTGTTGTAGGTCTGTGCAGATGTAAGGGTTCGGTCTGTAAATCTGTCGAGTAGGGGTTATAGCTGTGTAGAGGTCGAAACGGCTAGGCTAGAGGTCGAAACTGCGTCGAGTCGGCATTGCAACCCCATGCAGTCAGCGGTACCGGTCCCAGTCATACTCAGTCCAGTCAAGCAAGTACCGTGTGGGACTGTGTGCACCAAGGGCCTGGTGGAAAGGGGCAGTCCAGCGGCCAACAGAAGTATAAATCAAAAGCAGCGTCCAGCAATTCATTCATTCGCTGCATGAGCCATGCGGAAGCGCTGCCCCAACGTCTTGTGCGAGGTGGTCTGCAGGTTGCCCGAAGTCGAAGTGGGCTGAAGGAGGCAGAGTGTCAATAGGTTGTAGTAGTCGGCCGCCATAGTCGCCATAGTTAGTATAGGAGTTTCTATATGTGTATGAGTGTGTGAGATATTGGATGTCTGTGGGGTATTCAGGGTGATCCAGAGTTGAGTACGTGTGAACGGTGGTGTTGGACACAGTGACGAGAGTCGGGATGTGCAGGCGCTGATGTGCCATAGCCTGTTGAAGCGAATTTGCATCTGAACTGTGTTCTCGATTTCCATATCTCTGAGCTTTGAGTGGGCACTCAGCGCCAGTGTGAATCGCCATCCGTTTGCATGTATGTGAAGTGAAGAATAAAGTGAGTATGATTGTTTGGTATTGGAGCTGGTCCCCGTTATCCCACGCGCCATCGCCGTTGCCAGCAGGAAGGAGACGCGCGCCAGTTAGGTGCCATAGCTGAGGTGCACCAACGGAGAAGAGGAGTCCGCCATAGCTGCGCTGCGGAAGGAGGTGCCGCGTACCTGCAAGGAAGGCAATGAGGAAGGGGAGAGAGAGAGAGAGAGAGAGAGAGAGAGAGAGAGAGAGAGAGAGAGAGAGAGAGAGAGAGAGAGAGAGAGNAGAGAGAGAGAGAGAGAGAGAGAGAGAGAGAGAGAGAGAGGAGCGATACAAGATTGGTTGTGCGGTCCAAGACATGAGGTGGCGGCTATAACCGCCGAAGCTCGGACACGGAGTTACCAAGAAGAAAGAAGACGAAGTAGAGGAGAAGGGAGAGACGAAGAAGGGAAAAAGAAGACATAGCCAGGGTGAAGGAAGAAGAAACTGAGAAAGAAGGAAGGGGGCAGAAAGAGAATAACGAAGGTTGGTGAGGAAGAAAGGGGTCGGCAGCCATAGCCGATATCAACGTTGACCAAGGAGTTGACGGGAGAGTTGACCGGGGATGACCAGAGCATTGACCGAGGAGTTGACAAGGATTGACCAAGGCGATGACCGGGGTTGACCGAGGTGTTGACTGAGGGGTTGACCGACGTTGACCAAGGTGTTGACCGAGAAGTTGACCAGCGTTGACCAGCATTGACCGGAGCTGTTGACCACAAATTTGACCAAGCTGGAGCTGGTATATTCTCGCAAAGCCTTCAGCCTATCCCCTCGCCCTATGGATGTGCACTCACCCCATGGTACTTGCTAAGTTTGTCTGTCTCTTCTTTTTGCATTGAGTCTCTTCTGTCCAGGTGATAGGAACTTTGTGCATGAGGTTGTTGAGCTTTGTTGACCAAACCCACACGGGCAGAGTAGGGCTAAAGGTCGTGTCTGACGACTGACTGACCCGGAGGACAAACCCTCCCAAGGACCGGTACAGACCGGCGGGCTGCTCAGTGTGGCATGGTAGGCCCAGAATCCGAGCTGTGGGCTGCACAACAAGCTGTCTAAGTCTTGAGAAGACTTGCTGATCGCGTCGTCCTGTCTGCGACGTTAAATAATCCCTAAGGAGTTACGGGGGATCTCCTTAAATGCCTCCTGATCAGCAGTAAGTCCTGTAGTGACAGCCTTAGTTTTAGGTTTAGGCTAGAGACCATAGTTGACAGGATCTTACCAAGATTTTGTGGTCCTTAGTTGAGTCGGTCCTAAGTTAAGTCAGTCAGGGGTGAGAGTCTAAGTGGTGAAGAGTGGAACTGAATCTCGGTTGTACATCTTTCACCATGGTTGACCTGCGTAGTGGCAAGAGTACCACCCCTTATACCAAGGCTCATAAAGAGCAAGCCGCCGCCGTACTTAAAGAGAGAAAAGAGAAGGAGGCTAAGAAGGAGTTGATTAGGCTGGCCAAAAAGTTGGCCTTACAGGAGGAGCAGGCGGCGAAGAGGAAGAAGTTGGAGGAAATGGAGAGATTGGAGGAGGAAGAGAAGAAAGCAGTAGAAGAGGAGGAGATAGAAGAGGAAAAGGAGGAGTCCCTGATCAGGAGAAGAACAAGGGAAAAAGGGGAATCCAGTGGCACAAAGAAGTCATGGATAGACAAGAAAGTTTATGAGTGGGTGGCGAACTTGTCCCTGGGGGAAGAAGAGGAACCAATGTTGTATGCTCCCCGGGAGGAGCAGGAAGCGGTTGTGAAGGAGCTGGAGGCAGAAGAGGATTCCTTGAGACGCCAAACGATAGAGGAAGAGAAGAAGCTACAATGGAAGTTGGTGCTGATTAAGTTGCCTACTCTGACATAGAGTGGGAACTGGAAGAGGAAGAAGGGGGCAGTAGGGTTGATAGAGGGAGTACCTACGCTGCTATTGCGGCCGGAGGGAGGCCGCAAGGAGGAGGAAGGGGCCCTAGCAAGAATGGTCGGGCCTCAGGTGGCCGAGGACAGGGCGGCCAAGAGGTTGGCAACAATAGGAACCGCCAAGCGGGAGGAAAGGTCCCACGTCGAACAGTCCGCGTTCAAGTCAGTCACCTCCCAGTCAAGGAAGGTGGAACCCTGGCCGGCCTGAAGGGCGACCTTGGGAATCGTTGGGAATTGGGCAGAACGTGTGGTAGGAACGCATAGATAGGTACCAATGCGTATTGTGTGGGGACCTCTGCACACCATTAAGTTTTGTCCAAAGTACAGGAATCGCACTGCTTCTGGGGCAGCAAAAGGCAACCGCGAGTAGGGGTGGCAACTGCCCCTACCCCAGGAGTATGTGAATCTGAGCGTGCGCGAAAGATAGAGACTCCCACTCCACACATCTCCATGGCAGAGGTTGCTGGCCATCGTCTAGTAAGTTGTCCAGAGACTGCTTGTGAGTCTCTCCAGACGCTTCCCTCACAGGCTCGACCGAAGGATTGAAGGAGAGGAGGCAAGCCTAGGCCAAGATGACGAAGGAAGGGAAAGGAAAACTAGTTCTTTAGAGCTAGAGTAGGGGCCCTTATAGACAGTGGGGCCACCAGGAGTTACATTACTCGTAAAACACTGAAAAAGATAAAACTCAGTCTTAAGGTCCAATGACTGAAAGAGCCTGTAGTCAGTATCCTCGCAGACAACGATAGAATGTGTGTCGAGGAATATGTCGAGGGGGTCCAAGCATACTTTCGCTTAGAGAAGGAAGGGAAGGTAGAGAAAGTCTTTCATTCCTCGACTCTTCTCGTCGAAGTGAATCTCCCGTTTGATGTAGTATTGGGCACAGATTGGGGAGAGGCAGCACGAGCCACTTTGCATCTTTGATGGCACGAGTGCAGGCTCCCTAATCCGTCAGGCGAAGTTAAGCAAGTCCGCCTCTAACATGAGTCTGGGATAGACAATCCCCTTGCACATTGCTGCCTCAGCGGTCTTGCATTCGCTAGGCTTGTGCAAAAGGAGCAGTTCGAAGAGCAGGTGTTTGTTGCCTACGTAAAGTCATTTACAAATACGCCAAAGGAGGAAGAGAAAGTCCATCCCACACTATTGTCAGTCTGCTGGAAGAATACAAAGACTTATATAAGGCATCTCCCGGAGCAATACCGAGACTTATCCAGCATCACGTAGAAATAAAACCAGGCAGTAGAACGCCTAAGGGGTCACTCTAACAAATGTCCCCTAAAGAGCCAGAGGAGATTCGCAAGCAGTTAGACGAACTCCTAGAGAAAGGATGGATCAGGCCCAATTCATCTCCTTTTGGTGCACATGTCATATCCGTCCCAAAGAAAGAGGGAGGATTACGAATGCGCATAAACTACAGGGGCCTGAATGCCATAACTATAAAGAATGTAGAACCGATGCCCCGTATAGATGCTCTTTTAGACCGGGTGCAGGGTTGCAAGTACTTCTCAAAGATAGATTTGAAGTCGGGATATCATCAGACAGAAGTACACCCTATTGATCACCACAAGACGGCGTTCCGGACAAGATACGAGCATTAGTTCATAGTGATGCCCTTAGGACTTACTAATGCACCAACCACATTTCAGTGTTGTATGAACGATTTGTTTAGGCCGTTGCTAGATAGGTTCGTAGTAGTTTACTTAGATGATATTCTAGTCTTCAACAAGACCCGCAAGGAACATGAGGGCCATCTGAGGCAGGTCTTGGAGAAGCTACGAGAATCTAACTTCAAGATCCACGCAAAGACGTGCGAATGGGGCTAAGACCGAAGTCCTTTACTTGGGTCACGTGTTGGATGGAGACGGTATCCGACCTGAGGACAGTAAGATACATTAATTCGATGTTGGCCAACTCCTCGCACCCTGACAGAGTTGCAATCGTTCTTAGGATTGGCTAGCTACTATAGGAAGTTTGTCCATAACTTCTCCACTATTGCTGCTCCCCCGCACAGACTGCTAAAGAAAGAAGCTATCTGGCAGTGGGACCAAGATTGTACCTCGACCTTGAAGAAATTGGAGGCCTTGATAGAGTACCCTGTCCTCTAAGTCGCCGATCCATCACTACCATTTCTCGTCACTACAAACGCTAGTCGGTAGGCATAGGTGTTGTTCTACAGCAAGACGACGACAATGGTTATAGGCCTGTAGAGTTCATGTCAACCAGGCTGCCCTCGAAAAAGGTAGCAGCATCGACATACGAGAGGGAACTCTACGCTCTCAGGCAGGCCCTAGATCACTTGAGGAAGTTCAAAGTGTCCTCGACCACGAGACTCTAAGGTGGTTAAAAACACAAGCCAAGATGACGCCCAAGTTAACTAGATGGGCTGCTGAAATAGATCAGTTTGACTTCGAGCTAAATCCCGTTAAAGGTGAGTACAGCGTGGTAGCCGATGCTCTGAGGAGGAGGGCAGATTATTTCGGCGCGATAATGCACTATCTAGACATAGGGGCGGACCTGCAGCAGAGGATAAGGGATGCATATGCTCAGGATCCCATTTACAACGAATTGTTGAGACGATTTACATGCTTACGATCGTGCTCACCCTTTCCCTTCATCATTATCCCCTCCTACTTCTCGTCCTCCTATTGACCCATCTACTTCAGCGACCACTAACATTCCCTCTCCCCCATCGATGGGTCCTCCTGCTCCACCGGTACCTGCCTCAGGTCCTCCACCTCCTTTTCCTGTGGATGTGGTTCCGCTTGTTGCAGTTGATTCCTCTCACCCTCAGCGTACCCATCCACTTCCTTCTCGCTATCGTGACTGACCTATACCCCCCTATACGGTCTCTATCTTTTACCATTCTTGGACACTTATGCAGCAGCTCCCGATTTCGGCCTCTACGTTCGGCTTTTACATTCGGCTTCTACATTCGACTTTCGACCTCAGTGCTTCTCTTCAATACCAAAGTCCATGTCGCATTGTTCTGGACTTCTACTCGGTTTCAACACTACTACTACTTTCCTGGTTACTTCGGCTCGACTTCAGTTAGGAGACTTATCAGTTGGACTACTTCACTTTTTCGGCTACGGAGATCCCATCATTCCCATTTATCCATTACCCTCGAGTTTACCCTTCAGTCGCATGATGACCCCTATTTTCCCTGTCTATGTGGGTGTGTTCGTTTGCTGCCCTTCTGCCTTCCCTATGCTGCGCGCCATCCTCCGAAGTGTACGATTTCTTTGCTCGCGGCTTTTGGCCACATGTCTATGCCAGCATAGCCCTCTCTCCTTCCAAGCTCACCTTCTGTGTGCTCCCTTGTGCGCGTGCCCTTCCCCTTTTTAGCTGGCGGTACCCGTTTGATGGTTTCCATTGAGCCCGGTGTCGTGTTGTTACTCTCCCTCTGAGCCTGATGACCCTTACCTGGTTGGGTGGGTGCCCCCTTGGAGTTACTCTGAGAGTTGTACTTGTCGCCTTCCCACCCATTCCTACCTCTGCCATGCGACTGCATTCCCTTCTCTTTTGTTCAGGTATTGTGCATTGTGTATAGGGCACATGAGACTGTGCCACATTCTGTTTCGACTTAGGACATTGACTTAGCTATTCTTTGGCTCAGGAGACATTTTCTCTTTCTTGGCTGACACAGATCAGACATTTTTCTCTTTCTCGGCCGACACAGGTCAGACATTTTTCCTGCTTTTTGGGTCGACTCGGACCAGATATTGTTCCATAGATTAGGCTTGAGGCTTAGTCTGCATGCATCTCTTTTCTTGCATGGAGCTTGCTCTGCATCTAGGATTGTTTCCTTTGTCGTTCCTTTTGGGTTTCCTCTATTTCAGAGGATAGCGTGTTTGATGTATCGCTTGATCCATTCACAGGTCCGAGGATCGTGTAGCGGTACCCCTACTGCCCGGCAGTGAGGCCGGACCAGTTTCAGGCCGTCAGCCTGACCCTGGCCCGGTACCAGGTTGATTCCCGTTGTCGGGATTGGTGAGTCCCGAACGATTTCCAGTCACTCGAGAGACCGTATATGACCAATTCGTGCACGACAGAGAAAACCGGAGGCTGGAATGCTGGAAGGATCGAAAGCGTGAGCACAGGCATTAGGGAGCTAGAGGCTGCCCAAAGTCATCAAGGCCGCCAAACTAGGAAGAAACCGTCTAAGCAGGGAGTGGCAAAGGATTGTGAGAGAATAGCAAAGGCGACCCTTCCCCCGAAATGGAGAAGGACCGCCGGGAAATTGGTAGTAGCATAGGAGGTGCGCGACAAAGAAAGAAAAGCAGCAGGAAGGGATAGGACGTAAGCCGCCGACGTGACACGGCGGCAAGAGGGCCAAGGAGGCCAAAGGGTAGGTGGGAGCCGGCATCCGGAAAAGAACAGTGTGCGGGACGCGAGAGGAAACAGGGGGCGGAGATCGCCGTGAGGCGGAGGGACGCCAGGAACACCAAGAAAAAGACGTGGCACCGGCGGAGCAAAGTGCCCGGGACCACGTGGGACCAAGAGAAGATATGGTACCGGCGGGACAAAGTGTCGGGGACCACGTGGGACCAGGCAAAAATGCGTATTACCGCAGGACTAGTGACGGGGACCATGGGGGACTAAGCAAAAAAAAAGAGGACAGGCGTGACCACCAGCAGGACGGGACGGGTACCAGTGGGGCAAGTGTCGGGAGCCGTCGACGGAACAACGAACGACTGAACAATGGGGACGCATGATGACCTAAGGAAAAACAGGTCGTCACCCGGGATGACGCCGGAAAAAGAGAATGGACTAGAGAAGAAGTCAGGCGTCGGCAGGAATTGTCGACGGAGTGGAAGACGCAGGCGTAACACGGGAGAGACGGATGGTACCTGGGATGACCCAAGGGGACCCTGGATCAAGTATAATAACAATAAAAATAAAATAATGTCAGGTGGGCAGCGCCGTCCGGGCCAAGGGCCCGAACAAAAATATTAAGTACCACCGCGGCAAGCGCCGGCGGGAGGTGCCAAGGGGAAAGAGAAGGAGTGGCGGCAGTAAGGGGGCCTGGCCAGCAGTCCGGGTTATCCCGGACCAACCAGGCCAAGTTCCGAGGACCCCACATGAAGAAATGAATGGCCGGAGAAAATTCGAGTAAGGGGGCCTCGGACTGAGAGCGGCGGCAGCCAAATAGAGCCCCCTAGGACCTTGGGGATGCCACTACTGCAGTCCGAGGTGTAACGGCCACAGACCGGCTGCAAAATCAGAACTTGGATGGGGCCCAACAGCTAGAAAGAGGAAAAATGGTTGTTGGACACTTGTCCCATCAGAAATGAGAGAGAAAGGAGAGGAAAAGGGGAGAAAAAGGGGGAGAATGAGACAAAGGGAGAGGAATGAGTGGAGGAAAATGTGCCGCCAGGTTGGGACTGCTGCAGTAGGGACTGGCAGGTCTCAATGATGACCTCATTCTCCTAGATCCTAGAAGGGCATTCCGAATTGCAAAGATATGGCCCTTGGGGCATTATCTCTGCAATATCTGAATTTAAGTAACAAAAATAAGGGAAAATGCTGATGTGAGTTGGCCGGCTCTTTTTTGGGCCATAGATTTGAAATCTGATCCTATGGAGGAGGAGATCTAGCCGTTTTTTGTGGACTGACACAAAACAGCTAGCTCCGGAATGAGGTGGCATCAAAATGGAGGGAAAAACAAAGAGAGGAAAAGGACGAAATTGAGTATTTGGCCCAAGGCTTGGACAAGATACACCAAGGCTCAAATTTGAGCCAAGGGGAGCTTGGGAGTAGCTTGGAATAACGAGGGTCGTGGATCTCAGCCAAATCCAAGGCTGAGATTGTGCCGCCACATGGGAAAATGCAACGGCCTACCTAAAAGAGGTCTAGATGTGGAAAAAGACAAGAAAAGGGTCTTTAGGCCCTCAATTTTCATCAAAGGCTGCATTTTGGGTATGGGTACCCCAAAAAGGCAGCTCCTTTTGATAAGAAAGGAGGCCGGGGTAGGCCAAAGGGTAGTCCGAGGTGGTACTTGCCTCTCGGACTGCATGTACCTGGCCAAGATGAGGCCCAGGTACCTCCGGGGAGGCCACAACCTGAAATTTGGCCTTGGGGCTACCTCGGTCTACCTAGAGACACTTGGGGAGGCCTAGAGGCAAGGCGGTGCACCAGTTTCAGCCTACATATGCAGGAGGTGCAGGCCGCCACTCTCATTTGAGCATGAGAGGAGCCCATGCTGCCAAATTGAGTCCATGAGAGAATCCTAGTGGAGTAGAGCAAGGAGATGAGAGCCTGAAACCTGGCTATGGTGATAGGGTTGAGGAAGAAGGCCTAGTGGCTAGGAGGAAGTGAGGAGAGTGGTCCGCCATAGCCCTCAGGCTGTGAGATAGAAGGAGAGGCTAGAAGGGGTCCCCTTAGCCCTCCTAGAGGGAAGGACTCCATAGCCTTAGAGATAGGAGCCTGCCATAGCTTGAGAAGAGGTGTGAGAAGAGGAGTAGAGAACTTAGGAGGGAGGAAAGCCATACTCAAGGAGCTAGAACCAAGCCTGGGACTCCATTGCCTAGAGACCAGCAAGAGGTGAATGAAAGAGGAGGAAGTTTCTCCTCCTCTCTACTTCTTCTTCTTCTTCTTCTTCTCCTTCTTCCTCTCCTTCTCCTTCTCCTTCTTCTTCCTCTCCTTCTTCTTCTTCTTCCTCTCCTTCTCCTTCTCCTTCTCCTCCTTCTTCCTCTCCTTCTTCTTCTTCCTCTCCTTCTTCTCCTTCTTCCTCTCCTTCTCCTTCTTCTCCCTCTCCTCCTCCTCCTCCTCCTTCTTCTCCCTCTTCTTCTCCTTCTTCTTCCTCTCCTTCCTCTCCTCCCCTTCTTCATCTTCTTCCTCCCTCCAAAACCGTGATTTTGGCTGATTTTGATGCTTGTGTGTGTTGCCTTTCATCTTGGGATACTTCGGTGAACTTTCCTCTAAGTGTAGATGCTCTCAATCTTGTGTTTTGGCTGATTTTGATGCTTGCGTGTGTTGCGATTCATCTTGGGATACTTCGGTGAACTTTCCTCTGGTGTAGATGCTCTCAATCTTGTGTTTTGGCTGATTTAGATGCTTGTGCGTGTTGCGATTCATCTTGGGATACTTCGGTGAACTTTCCTCTAGTGTAGATGCTCTCAATCTTGTGTTTTGGCTGATTTCGATGCTTGTGAGTGTTGCGATTCATCTTGGGATACTTCGGTGAACTTTCCTCTATTGTAGATACTCTCAATCTTGTGTTTTGGCTGATTTTGATGCTTGTGTGTATTGCGATTCATCTTGGGATACTTCGGTGACCTTTCCTCTCGTGTAGATGCTCTCAATCTTGTGTTTTGGCTGATTTTGATGCGTGTGTGTGTTGCGATTCATCTTCGGATACTTCGGTGAACTTCCCTCTAGTGTAGATGCTCTCAATCTTGTGTTTTGGCTGATTTTGATGCTTGTGTGTGTTGCGATTCATCTTGGGATAGTTCGGTGAACTTTCCTCTAGTGTAGATGCTCTCAATCTTGTGTTTTAGTTGACTTTGATGCTTGTGTGTGTTGCGATTCATTCCGGGATACTTCGGGGAACTTTCCTCTTGTGTAGATGCTCTCAAACTTGTGTTTTGGCTGATCTAGATGCTTGTGTGTGTTGCGGTTCATTCCGGGATGCTTCGGTGAACTTTCCCCATGACAGATTGCTTCCAAACTCATTTTTTGGCTGATCTAGATGCTTGTGTGTGTTGCGATTCATTCCGGGATACTTCGGTGAACTTTCCCCATCATAGATTGCTTCCAAACTCATCTTTTGGCTGTCCTTGATGCTTGTGTGTGTCTCGATTCATTCCGGGATACTTAGGTGAACTTTCCTCTTGTGTAGATGCTCTCAATCTCATCTTTTGGCTGTCCTTGATGCTCATCTTGGGATACTTCGGTGAACTTTCCTCTTATGTAGATGCTCTCAAACTTGTGTTTTGGCTGATCTAGATGCTTGTGTGTGTTGCGATTCATTCTGGGATACTTCGGTGAACTTTCCCCATGATAGATTGCTTCCAAACTCATCTTTTGGCTGTCCTTGATGCTTGTGTGTATTGCGATTCATTCCGGGATACTTCGATGAACTTTCTTCTTGTGTAGATGCTCTCAATCTCATATTTTGGCTGACCTTGATGCTTGTGTGTGTTGCGATTCATCTTGGGATACTTCGGTGAACTTTCCTCTTGTGTAGATGCTCTCAAACTTGTGTTTTGGCTGATCTAGATGCTTGTGTGTTGCGATTCATTCCAGGATACTTCCGTGAACTTTCCCCATGATAGATTGCTTCCAAACTCATCTTTTGGTTGTCCTTGATGCTTGTGTGTATTGCGATTCATTCCGGGATACTTCGGTGAAGTTTCCTCTTGTGTAGATGCTCTCAATCTCATCTTGTGGCTGTCCTTGATGCTTGTGTGTTGCGATTCATTCTGGGGTACTTCGGTGAACTTTCCTCTTGTGTAGATGCTTTCAAACTTGTGTTTTGGCTCATCTAGATGCTTGTGTGTGTTGCGATTCATTCCGGGATACTTCAGTGAACTTTCCCCATGATAGATTGCTTCCAAACTCATCTTTTGGCTATCCTTGATGCTTGTGTGTGTTGCGATTCATTCCGGGATACTTCGGTGAACTTCCCTCTTGTGTAGATGCTCTCAATCTCATCTTTTGGCTATCCTTGATGCTTGTGTGTGTTGCGATTCATCTTGGGATACTTCGGTGAACTTTCCTCTCGTGTAGATGCTCTCAATCTTGTGTTTTAGCTGACTTTGTTGCTTGTGTGTGTTGCGATTCATCTTGGGATACTTCGGTGAACTTTCCTCTTGTGTAGATGCTCTCAATCTCATCTTTTGGCTTTTCTTGATGCTTGTGTGTGTTGCAATTCATTCCGCGGGATACTTCGGTGAACTTTCCTCTTGTGTAGATATTCTCAAACTTGTGTTTTGGTTGATCTAGATGCTTGTGTGTGTTGCGATTCATTCCGGTATACTTCCGTGAACTTTCCCCATGATAGATTGTTTCCAAACTCATCTTTTGACTGTCATTGATGCTTGTGTGTGTTGCGATTCATTCCGGGATACTTCGGTGAGCTTTCCTCTTGTGTAGATGCTCTCAATCTCATCTTTTGACCGTCCTTGATGCTTGTGTG